CTGCCGCGAGGGGCGCTGCCTGGCCGGACGAGGCGGCCGCGGGGCGCCCCTGCGCCTAGGCACATTCTGGCCGCGGGGCAGGCAATTCCCGGCCACCGGCATTTGGGCTCCGCTCCAGAGCTGCGCAGCGCGGGCCCGGGCGCCTCCGGGGGCTGCGAGGTGTTGGCGAGGGGGCAGATGGCCCGGCTGTCGGCGCCCCGTACCTGGGGGATGAGAGAAGTCCGGGCGGCATCAGGATGGGCACCCTCCTATTCATTCATCCGTGTACTCATTCATTCATTCATTCACTCATTCGTTCATTCACCAGCCAAACCGATTCCCTCGTCCTGACTGCCCCGCACCCCAAGTCTGGCGCTTCCCTGCTGGCTCTCGGAGGGGTCAGCCTCTCTCCTCACCCAGCCAGGACTGCAGTTGTAGTGGCCCGCGGCGGCCCAGGAGGCAGCGTGGAGCTGTCCCGGCACAACCCAGCCGCGCCCGTGCGCCAGGCCCGTCCCGATCCGGCGCGCTGGGGCCGGTCTCTCAGCCGGGAGACCTGATCCAAAGTCGCTTTGGGAGGAAGGAAAGTTCTTGCAGCTGGGCAAGGGGCAAGGAGGCTGGGCAGGCTGGAGGTGGCGTTTCAGGTGACACCAAGAACTGTGGCCTCGCTCCTTGAGGTCTTGGGTGCTGCGGGCGGGATTATTTAGGGAAGACAGAGGAAGTGAGTGAAGCTGTAGCAAGTTCCTGCCCTTGCCCAGGTCCCAAGCCCCACAGTCTGAGCTCTGGAGGGCAGCCTGGCTCCCCTGGCCAGCTAGCACTGGGGAAGGTAGGGTGAATGTGTGAGTCCTGTGCCCACTCTACACAGGTTTATGGAACTGGCTGAATCCTTAGGGGCTCCCTCTGCCCTGTTTTCAGAGGCTGGTGGGTCTCTACCCAGCTGTCATATGCCCTTATTGGCTTTGCTTGTCTCCCCCCTCCTCATGGCTGTTTAAGGGTGCCCCCATCCTTGCAGGGGTCAAGCTCCTAGGGAATAAGACAGAGTGCCCTGACAATCTGTGATGTCTTCACCCCATGTACATCTCTAGCTGGCTCCAAAGTCCAGCGCCTCTCAAAGATTTATGGGGTTGCAGGGAGAGGTGGCGTAGAGGGTGTCCCTCCCGTCCTATAGTGAGGGGGCCAGGATACCCCCTCCACAGTCCTCTGATGATGCTGGCCAGAGTCCAGCCCATGCTGACAGACACTCTCAGGTTTGAGGTTACAGTTTGACAGGGCCAGGTAAGCAGTGAGCATCCCTGGGGCAAACGGACAGGTCTAGAGGGCAAAGCTGGTGGAGGCTGCCACCCAGCTTCCGCGAGAGTTTCAGCTGGGACCAAGTCGAAGTTCTTCCTGACTTGCCTTAGGGAGAAATTTCGGAATTAGCCTAGAGGGGACAGCCCAGCCCGATCCATGCCTTGATGTTACAGGTTGCTTTCAAATTTCTGAACTTAGGTGAGTCCTCAAAAGCCTTGATGCAGACCAGAAAGACCTGTGTGCAATTCATCCACCTAAGATGGCCCCCTGAGGTTGAGGTCAGCAGTACTCGGATGGGTTTATGCCAGTCAGCCTCTCTGAAGCTCTTTCAAGTGCCTGCTTAGGTGGCTCTGCCCAGTCCTTAACCTGGTTAAGCTGTGGTTTTGGCCACCCCCCCCCCCCAAACAATGCCACATACCGTATTTATTGGACCAGCATGAAGAGCTTTGCTCTGGGAATCGGAAGTGAGTTCTAAGCCTCACGCTGTTCCTGTTTTGCTGAGACTTGGGAAAAGTCAGGTCCCCTCTCTGGGTCTACTTTGCCATTATCATAAGGCAAGGAGATTGGATTGTAGGCTCCCAAGGGCCTTCTCTATGATGTCATTCAGTGATTCTGCTAATTTGCCTCAATTTCCCCTCAATTTCTGGAGGTGTTTTATTTCTTCACATAATTTCTTCTTTGCTATGACTCCCTATAGAAAGTCTATGAAATCAAGGGGCACCTGGCTGGCTCAGTTGGTGGAGCATGTGACTCTTGATCTCAGGGTCATGAGTTCAAGCCCCACGTTGGGCAGAGAACTTACTTCATAAACACAAACACAGGCCCATGAAACGGAAAATGGTACAGCATTCCACTTGGTACAGTGTCCAGTGTCTGAGTTTGGACACCAGAAAATAACTTGCTTTCTCCTTTTCTGAAAAATGAAAATAGGCCCTTACATTTCTGCAGCTGCCTCTGGTGCCAAGTGTAAGTTTGGCATGAAATCGGTCTGGGCCACCGTGCTGCTATTCACCTGGGCTGCAGGGCACAAATCTGTCACTGTCTGTTGTCACCAAACTTTGAAGCTTTGATGAATCACCCTTTGATGAAGTTTACTCATGTAGGAAAGGAAGGAGGAGGGGAGAGCAGAGGCCCCTGTGTGATAAGAAGTAACTGCCCCCCACCCCAAGGAGTACCTGCCTCCTATCGCACAGATTCCAGAAGGAAGGTTTTTTCCGAAGAATGTAAGCCTCTATAGGGTAAGCTGGTTCCTCCCTTCTCCCTGCCACAGCTACACGTTTTTACTGGTTTAGAAATGCTTGGTCCTAATTTAGGACTGGAGTTTTAATAACCCGTGGAGGTTGAACCACTCTTCAAGTCCTAGTTCTAACCGCATGTTTCCTCAGCTGATGTTTAATATCCACTAGAAAATCACATGGTGAGTTTTTTTAAACAGACGTGTTTCTGGCTGGTACTCTTTCTTTCTTTTTTTTAAAGATTTTATTTATTTATTTGAGAGAGAGAATGAGATAGAGAGAGCATGAGAGGGGGGAGGGTCAGAGGGAGAAGC